ACATTTATACATTTTTGGACTCTGGGGACCTTGAAACGTCGAGAAATGAAGTTTCCCCCTCTTTGTATTACTGTGTGGGTGCGCTATTATGTCCACCAGATTTGAAGCTTAACATCTGTAACTTTTGTCAAAAATTTATGAAATTTTGCAGGGAAATAAGGGAATTGATGCTTGTAAATTTTACTAGTAAAAGGTCAAGGGGATGAGGAGATAAAGGGAGTCGTGAGTCATATCTCGAGAGGGGTAAAACTTAAAGAAGATTTATTCATTATTATTTATAATTTATTTTTATAAAACCCATTCCTCCATTTAAAATTAAGCCTTTTGCCATTTTATAACAGTTAAAAACATAAAATTTAATAACAAATGGCACCGTACATAATTTTAACTGTTAACGGGTAAGTTACGCAACTCTTGCTGGATATTTTTATTTTCTCTCTCACTACTTTCATCTACATACAATTGAATTTTAAAAAAAGACATTAAAATAATCCATTAGTCAATTCAATTTTTGTAATAATTCATGCAAAAATAATTCATTCTCGACATTCTATATTTAGATTTTAAGATAAGGTCTTGATATCCCTCATTCCAATTGATGATTGATGTTGTTTTTCTTTTAAAAAAACCTTCATATAAATCAATAAAATAACGATAATTTTTGATTATTTTCTATTTTATAGACAGGTTTCGAATTTGATATGCTAAATTTAATATAAAAGTAAAATTAATTATATTATTTCCCCTTTAAAAAATTATCAAGTGCTCTGTCATAACGCTTCAATGATTCTTAATAGAGAAATTCTCATGAAGGTTCGAGTGGAAACTCTTAAAATAATATAAAATAAAATAAGAAAAGCTCATTATATTGTTTTTTACGTTATTTATATTTGAATGATTCTATTTTATAGAATTAAAACCTTTAAAAACGTGATTTAAAATTAAAACTTCGAAGTTAATAGAGCTTAAAAGCTTTATTGTATATAAAATTTAATCTTTTGTACAATTCAAAATAGGATTTGGTTCCATAAGAAAGAGACTTTGAGATAAATGGCGATTACTCCACCGAATAGCCCACTACGAATTATCTATTCTCTAGTGCACTTGTATTTAAAGAATACGTAAAAGAAGCAAGATTTAATTCTCGTGCAATGTTCTCTCTACTCCTTGTAAAAGCGTTACTATAATTGTAACCTGTCATCACGTACAGAATAATATTGATCATATAAATTGAAAGAATATCGCTTGAGAAGATCATAAACATTTTTACTTGAAGATAATCGAGTGTTAACATTCCTCAAGTTTTGTGAACCATTTAATTGTTTTTCTCTTTGGGAGTGGAGGAAAAATATATATATATATAATTTTCTCCCTTATCGAACTTCGTTTTTGTATGAAAGGAAAAATAATAAATAATAATAGAACTGTAAAATGCAAAGACAGCAAATATTTGAAAGGAAAAAACAATTTCTCTTTATTCTGGCAAAGAGAAATGTGAGCAAATTCCAGTACAATCGATAAAGAAACCTTTTTTTTCACAAAAAAATGAAAAAAAAAATCATTCGCATGATACATAGCGTCTGTTTTCCTAATATCAAATAAAACACAAGCACTTTAAAGTATAAAATTATATAATTTAAATACATTTTTTAATTATTTAAGTTAATTTCACATGATTTAAAACTTATTTTATTCACAATATTCCCGATTAATTAACTGTATGTGACGAAGCATAACAAAATTGTATTTTAATTTGAAATTTATTATATTTATTATTTTGTTTTTAAATAATTATACGTGCAGTCAAACTTTTGAAGACTGCCACTCTCTTCTCCAGAGACCACCCCCGATATCGGATCTTCTCCAGAATGGATTTTTTAACTCGTATTACTAATATAATTTGATCTCCTTACTCGACCAAAGACCATCTTCTAAAACCATTTTAGACGATCGAGTGTGCTGCAAACGTGTCTAAAAGTGAAATATTGTATGTAGTATATGCAGTACTTTAAATGTAAAACTGCTTTTTAGACAGAATTTCTTCTGCCAGTAGAAAATAGGACAGTAGGGTGTCTGAGTCAAAGTTTTATGTTAATAGACCTTTATTGTTTTTTTTTATTTTGATGTTCTTTAGGCCACACTTTACACTGGATTATAACCATACCTTTACTTCGTAAAATTCCTTAATTACTGTAACTTATTTACAATACATATTGTATTTAATTTGTAAATAACATGGTTTTAAATTTCAGTACTGCCAGCATCTTTATAAACTTTAATATATGCGTGTATATCTGAAAACAATACATATCAGGCTTTTTACAGTAACGTTTTACAGAGAATTATAACAAAATTTTGAATTAATAGCTTCGTTTTAAGGTTGAGTTGCAAACAAAATGTCAGGTGTACACAGTAACAGGAAGTTTTCTTTCCTAACTTGAAAGGGGTGGATTCTGTAATTAAACAAAAGAAACTGGAAAATCGAGACGAATATTAACAAGCAATTTAAGTGTGAAAAGAGCCAAATTCAAGCAATTCTTGAAAATAAGGAACCGTATCTCAGTGAATAGGAAGAAAAGACAAATGAAAACACCAGATAAAAACGTGGGCAGTTATATGAAGATGTCAACAAAGCATCTGCACTATGAATGATGCTGCAAGATATGGCTTTAACTTTGTCACGGAACTAGGTGTCATGGCTTGATAAGTTTCGTCTTTGCTACAAAATTGTATTTCGAGTCGAATAGTTTTAACTGAAAATGGTGAAGTAAAAGAAGATGTTTTCGAGTGGAAAGGAAGAATACAGATGGACAAATTAAGTTCTTCAATAATCATTACATAGAATGCATTTTAGGTCCAAACCCCTCTTCAACTGCAGACTATTCTATACATACTTTAAAAGCTAGTTTATATACAATTAAACTATAATATTTTGCGTTTAATGCTTTTCACTTATCATTTACAGAGCAAAGAAGATGGGTGAAAAGAATTTTATCATTTATATTTTAGAAGTCAAAATCCATTGAACAGTAAGAACATAAATCAATGAATTTCTGTTTCTTGTACGAACGGGAACCATTATTCATTCGTGTAGATACGTCTACAATCTTGATAAGCAGTTATTGGTAGATTGCGATCTTATCTTATAAATATTAGCATTTATACGTTATACATAAACATTGTTATGTAACAGATGCATTAATATTATTGCATAAATTACATTATAATCCTACAGAAATAGAGCATTTATGAATCGAAAATAAAGAGATATATTTTCTTAAATAACTTTAAGTATATTTAATGTACAAGATAATTATGTTACATAAGAAAAAGATCAAGAAGTACCACGTAGGTGCTGAAGAGAGATATATGCAAAGAAAAAGACCAGGAGAATAATCAAGAAGGGAATGGAGATATACAAGGAAAATGATCAAGAGAATACAAAGATGAGAATGGAAAGAGACACACAAGAGAAAGTTTCAGAGAACATTAAAAGAGAGAGAGAGTGAGGGAAGCGAGGGAAAATGCGTGATTCAGAGCGAAACAGTTGACTGTAAAAGAATACACAAGAAAACGAGTAGAAGAAGAACACTTTATTCAGTTGACCTGGCAATAGAATACTAGAATACTAGCGCTTGCTTTCAGTAGATAAAAGCAGTATCACCTCCAACGGAGTTATAATGGATGCAAGCAAGACGTCTGAATGTCACCAGTTCCCTTTTTATAAATTACTTGTAATTTTAATTGTTTTTAAAAAGACTTTTTAAACTTCTGGCGACAAGTAGCCTACAAGGAAAGGTCAGTCTCAAAGAATGTGTATTGTGTAGAATATAGAAAAAATAAATGGTAGTCCCTTTTGGGCATACTTTGTCTTCAATTTTATTAATGAATACTAAAGAATACGAAAGGAAATGTCACGAGACAATTGATTTATTCCCCGCGATAAACTTTTGAAACATTGTTGTAAAAAAACATAATTTAATTTCTAGTTTAGATAATTAATAATATAAAAGTTATTTTTTAATTAAGCATCTATTTCTCAGCAATATCAGCAATTTATATTAATTCAATATAATTTCTTCTTATGTAGAAATTATATTTGAAAAAGTTATTTAAAGAATGCTGCAGAAATTCTTCAGATACGACACACAAAAATTCTGTTCCAGTAAATCATTAGATTTGCTGAAATCTGAATAAATTCTGTAGAAATTCTGTTGAATTAATTAAATTTGTAGAGAAATTCTGTAAATTTAATTTTCTATTCTATTTACTGTCACAATACTTAGTATAATTTGACTTTAAACATAGTTTAATTTCTCAAAATAAACTTCAAAATATATTAATTTCTTTTTACCTAGAAACTTTAAAGTAAAAATTATACTTAAAATAATTAATTTTTTGGCATTTTTAGTAACATTTGCTAAGTAGTAATGAAAGAATTCTGCATGATTTACATAAATTACGAATCATATAAATATATTTACTATGGATAAATGATTCCATGACGTTTCTTCAGATGAAAACATTTACGACTGATAATATTATTTAAAAATTATCATAAATAAGAAAATTATTCGGAAAAAAATTAGTTTCAGATGTCAAAGCTAGATGAAAAATGACACTTAGGTTGTGCAGAATAATCAAAAATGCCAAAGAAATTCAGAAAGTATAATTTGAAAATCAACAGAGCGAGTTTATTATGACCAATCTTTTAGGGTAGTTAGCAAAATCACTTTATTTTATATTCCTATAAATTTTCATAATGGAAACTCTAAAATATTGTTTAGAGAGTTGCAGAAAATTCTACGAAATAGAATTTTAATCAAAATAACGTTTGAACAAACTATATTTCAGATAAAATGATTGTTCTGAAGGATGATTGATACCTGAAGGATTGGATTGGTTTCATGGGATGAAGTAACACAACACATGAGATACTACAGAGAAGGGTTTTCTATGGGTAAACTGGCCCTTATTTAGATATTAGAACGTGATAAAACCTGTAAAATCTCCACGTGGCCAGCCGTTGGTAGGCGTGAATCTACGACTAACAGTTAATGTTCTATGGTTTATCCACTTTGCAACTCGTGGTCCCTGAAGGAAACCTAGCTGAAACCTATAAGAAAAATTTTATAAACATTATGATTAATTGATATTTTGGTATATTAACATTACTAACATTTAATATCAATAAACTCATCTTGAAATCCATCTTCGATGTGTTCAACTGCATGAAGAGGAATTGGGAGCAACGCCTCAACATGACCATTATGAGATTAAAAAATAAAGCAAGCTAAAGAATCTTCATAAAAATTAATTTCTTTTAGAGATAAACAAGATATAAATAAACACTGAAACGTTAAAACTTTTGAAATTATTCTATAGAAAACAGCGCCATTTTTTCAACTGGTAACAACATATATGATTATATTTAAATAAAAATATTTTCTAACTTTATAATAATAAAAAATATTATTATTAAACTTCTTTTTAATCTCATAAAAGTATATAAAAGATATTAAAATAATAAAATCATAAAGATGAAATTAGAAAATAGTCATAAGAGCATGCTTTAAATCTTTATTTAAAGGATGTAAACACATATAATAATGTATAAAACTTTAAATATAGGTAATAACTAGATCTTATTACTAAGCTTTTATAATATATAAAAGATTTAAGATATATTTTCATTATCATAATTGATTTAAACACGCGTATCCATCATCCTCTCTCATCTTCCTTGATTTAAAAATGAAAAAGAAAAGGAACTATCTTTACGTTGATGAATTTTAGTAATGTTAATAAAAAAGAGGCTTTTATTGGAGGTTCTTCTGCAATTATTCTGTTTTTAAATCAATTTTTAAAACATTACATAAAAAATTTATATTTTTATTTTAAAAGTATTTTTAAAAAGTCAGTAAAATTTCTTTTATTTTAATATTTTGATTGACGCTTTGAAAGTAAAATTATTACTAAAAAATTATTGAGAGTCGCATTACTGTAAACCTATAAACTTATCGTATTACTTACTTTAAGATAAAAATATTTGTGTAAATTGCAAGTAAAAATTTATATATAATATAATATTATATAAATTAAGTAATAATTAAATTTAGGTGTTATGCATGTGAATAAAATCGGAAAATTCCACGTGGACAGCTTGTTGGTCAGATGCGAACCTGCGATAAATTATCAGTGTTAAGTGGTTTCATACACTAAGTCACTGGTGAGGACGGTGAAAGACTTAAGGAAAGGATGAATTAGAGGGAGGGGTGTCGAGGTGGCCATTATATGGAAGCCTATATTTTCCACGGGGTCAATCTGAAAAACATGGTTCAGGTCGGTCATAGTTTAGGAGTTAGAAGAATGAGATTAAAGGAAGGTGGGGTATGGGTGTAGAAGTGTATAGAAAACAGGCAGTTAGTCAGACATTCTATTTTATATATATATAATAGAATTACTGCCTCTCCTCCTACATAATGTTTATTAAATTAATTTTATATTATCGAATATATGTGACATTTTTACTACATATATTGGATAATATATACTTACGTTGTAACATATGAGCTTACGTGTAAATCGTTAAAAATTATTATTTTTTAAATAATAAAATTTGATTCAAAATAAATAACGTTTCTTCTTAAATGTAATACGAATGAATAATTTATAATAATTACTTTTGAGGTACTTGATTAGCATTGGTCGAGCCTAACGAGGAAGGTGCGAACCCACTACTAATAATAATATTCTACGGTTTTTCTACTTTGACACACGACCCAGAAAGCTGTACGTGGCCAGCCACGTACAGCTTTCTGGGTCGTGTGGCAAAGTAGATTCTTCTGGGTTTTTCACGTGTCTAATGAATATATTAGATATAAGCAATAGAAATTGAATATAGAAGGAAAAATGAGGATAGACATGATGAAGAATGAAGGAATAAGAAGAAAAGGAGTTAATTGAATGAAGTTTGAGCCAAACTCCTAATGAACATGTAAAAAAATAATTGACAGGATAATAAAAGTCAGGGAAGATAACATGATCAGGGAAGATGGATAGAAAAAGTATGGAAATTATTAATCCACTTCTTATTCTAGGTAATTTCTATGTAACAATCACTGATGATAATAAGTAGAGCTTATCACTTATGGCAACAACATCTCTCATATTCATAAAAAAATTGTAAGCATTTTTAAAATAAACGAGCGAGTATTTTTATTGCAATTTTTCGTCACGATACACTTAAGATTATTTGTGTCTTGCTCCTGTTTATTATGCTTTTTCTGTCAACAATGAAGTTATGCTAATCATGTATTCGAACTCTGTTCAGGAGTAAAATTTTGAATTGAAATCACGTGACTTCCAATTAGGCCCGGAAGTTATTATACAGTTACTTAGGTCTGTCTTCCTCTACACTTTTTAAATATTGTCTTGATTATCACCTAACTAACACCGTTCTCGTGATTGAGAAAGGACAGACATATATTGGAAATTAATAGGTCTACAATTTAATTTCCAAATACTTTGCTTACAGATAAATTATCAGTTAAGAAACTGCACAAAAAACGAGAGGAAGAGTGTGAATAATATTTATTATTTATAATTTTATATATAACTATTTAGAATTTTTGAGAGAATAACTTTATCTTTAAATTCAGTTTGTAAACTTTGCATATCGCTGTAGGGTGATATATATATATATGGATGATAGATAAGTAAATATGATGATGTGTGATTGATTACAGATGAATATATGATAAATTTTATCTCTTACTATAGATTCTGTATATATATTTGCCATATATATCTATCAAATTTATCACTGATAATGCACATACGACGATACATTTAATAGATAAGTAAATGTATATATATTTATAGCATTATTTTAAAGAAATTTTCATAAGTTTTATGCTTAACTTATACTGTTTTCATAAATAATTGAATTTTTACAATTTTTAACTATATTTTTAATTTATTTAATTTAAAATATATGCTCTCCACCGCAAATTTGTAGTGACTTGCCCCGTACATCATAATAAAGCGCCTGTAATTCATGCTTTTCCTGTTAGCACAAGAGTCATGCCAGTCATCTATCTAACACCTTTCAGGGGAAAATGTTTGAAATTAAATAACGTAACTTCCGTTATGCATTCTTTTATAACTATAAAAGAACTTCCTCCCACTAAGAAGGTTTCTATGTCTAAAGAAGTCTTTAGACATAGAAACCTTCTTTAGACATAGAAACCTGTCTTTCCTTAATCTTGAGAACAGACGTACTGTTCTAAAGATTAAGGAAAGACAGACGAATTGACAGACAGACAGATGACAGTAGGAACTTATAGATAGGTCTACAATTTTTTTCTAATTATAAATTTTATAAAAGCTAAAAATTTACGTTTATATGTTTGATAGAACCGAATTTTACCTTCTGCAGATTTCTCTGTCTCTCTTTCTCTCTGATAATTTCAACAATTAAATTAACAGTTATTTAATTTATTGTTATTAACGTAACATTAATGATGAAGATTAGTCATTTCCGCATCTCTCGATGTAAAAATAAGGAGATAAAATAGTAGTTACGTACTTATAATGTTATAAATGTTCGTTAAAAATATATTATATATATTACAAAATTACTTAAAAAAATAACGTGATATAACTGATAAAACAATTAAAAGCGCAAATTTTGCTTTTAATGTATTATATAGCTACTTTAATTAAGATTATGTGTTACCATGTGCCAGATAAAAATGTATATTTATTGTGTATAATTTTAGAATTTTTAAACTAACTTTGGTTCACTTTAATGTAGAATTAAATTGAATTAAGAATTAAATATACAGTCGACCCCCCTATAAGATAGAGATACGTTCCATTCTCTAGGAATCTGCTTTCTTACGAATCCTTCCAATCACAACCCGACACGTATCAAGTTTACGGACTACGGCTGTTTGAAAGATTTTCTTCCATAAAATTAATCGATTCTAGACTAATCCGACTCAACATTTCCAAAATACGTATATATTTTTTGGGAATAATCCGTATAAACTACGCTATAAACAAAAAATTGTAGGATTACTTACCGAGTGTCACCATTCGACATTGCCATTGCTCAACATTGTTTTCGTCGCGGAACAGCTCAGCAAAGAGCGGCCGATTTCTAACAACTTATTTTTCTGTGAAAACTTCGTAGAACTTCGGAGACATCATTAATATAAATAATTTTAATCGCCGTTGAATAAGAAATGTTTCTTTCACAAGAAATGTATAAAATTACAGTACTGTATTAGACTTACGGTACCTAATTTACATACTGACAGACGATAGTTAGCGTAAAAATCTCCGTAGCGTGGCGCCACGCTAGACGGCGGAAATTATATATTTAATTATAACAAAGTTACAATAAGTTAATATATAATTATATATACAGTACCTAATTTATATATAATTAATATATAATTATATGTACAGTACCTAATTTATATATAATTTATATAATACTGTCCAGACGATAGAAATCTCTCCGTAGCGTGGCGCTACGGACGGCGGGAAAGTAGTTCGGCTTCCCGATGATGTTTGAGGTGTTTATAGGGAACTTTTACTATTTTTTACGGATACCGGTAGCAATTTTTTCATAGTTTTATAGGAATCGTAACTATAGGGACCGTAATTATAGGGGGGTCGACTGTATTTAATTTTATATTAATCAATTAAAGACAATAGTATATTTTAGGTTGCGTGTCTTTGATACTTATTTCCATTATGAACCGGAAATGAAGTCAATCAATTGGGATCGACCCCATTTTGATATAAATTGATTTACAACTATTTTCAAAAAATAATGAGCAATTATTTCGTCACAATGCTCTCAATTTTAGTAGTGTCTTGCCCCTGTACATCATACCTTTCCTGTTAACAATGGTGTCATGCCGGTCACTTATCTCCGTTCAGAAGAATGTAGAAATTCTAAAGTATTGTAACTGCTAGTAACACTTATAATTACAGTACAACTGTGTACCAATGATAAATGTTATACCAATATAATACCAACGATTGCTTTTTCATTAATATAAGTAATTTAATTAAATTTGTTAAGCGGGAGAATACTATATAACTTTTATCAAAAACCTATTGGAATCCATGGCGAATAAGTTTAAAATTTGAAAATAAAAATGTAATACTCATCATTTACATACCCTTATTTTAGTGCCACCATTGTCCTGGACCCTGTGCCTGTGCACGCGTTGCACTTACCTGTTTACGACATTGAATTTGCACAAGTTAAAGAATATATAAGCAGTTTTATTGGTTTTTTCAGTAATTTTTTCTTGAAAAATATGGTTATTACACTGAATAATTTGTGTGTGATTTAGGATGATCAACCTTTTGCTGTTTGAGTATGATCATCCTGTTCCTGTTACCAGCGACGGTAGCTTCCGCTACTTTATCAGCAGCAAAGAGAAATTGCATACGCATTCTTCTAAATTTGGGAAAACGCGAATAAAAAGTGCGTTTTTGGTGCTCATTGAGCGAAAAGAGAAAATAAAAAACAAAAGAAACAATCAATAATACACATTATAAGCTCTATATTTTTGATTGCTTTAATGAGAAATGTGCATATGTCTGATAGAAAAATATAGGCTTATATTCTTATATTGCAATACAGTCGACCCCCCTATAACACGGGTTCCTATAGTTCGGATCCCTATATGACGGCGAAAAAATTGCGACGGTATCCGTACAAACATGGTAAAAAAAAACTCCTATAATTCGGTAAAACGTCATCGGGCAGCCGAACTACTTTCCGCCGTCCAGCGCCACGCTACGGTAAATTTAGGCGGGTAAATTGAGTTTATTATCGTCTTTACAGTATCATATATAAATTATATATAAATTAGGTACTGTACATATAATTATATATCAATTATATATAAATTAGGTACTGTATATATAATTATATATTAACTTAATTTATTGTAACTTTATTATAAATATATATATATTTTCTGCCGCCACGCTATGGAGATTTTAGGCTAGTAAGTTGTAAGTTGAGTTTATTATCGTCTGCACAGTATGTAAATTAGGTACCGTAAGTCTAATACAGCACTAATTTTATACATTTCTTGTGAAAGAAACACTTCTTATTCAACGGCCATAAAAATTATTTATATTAATGATGTCTCCAAAGGTCAAGTTATTTTTC